TAGAATACATGTATAAAAGATTAACTTATCTTAAACTTTCATATATATAATAATCTATTATCTAGAAGAAATAAACATAAAAAAATTACTATAGGTTATCCATCACTTTGACTTACGGACCGGAATCTAGCATAATTTGAATAAAAATAATTTTTAAAGCGAGAATTTTTTTAAATGGTTTTTTTTAGTTCATTTTCACAAAATAGACTTTAAAGAGGAAAATAACCAAAATAAGTTTTATCAAAGGAAAAATATGCACTTATAGCATAGTGTTAACTAATCTAGACTTGTTTAGAGTTAAGGACAGAGATTTTGGGATGCGATTTCAAATTTAAAAAAAAAAAAAAAAAATATTACAAATTTGAAAATAAAAATAGACTATTTTGGTTATTTTATTTTTCGAATGCTATTTTGTGATAAAAACTTAAAATGACTATTTAAGAGAATTGCCTTTTCAAATATGTTATTTTCTGCGTATATTAATTTTTTTAATAATCAATTACTAATTTAATTAATAAAATAAATATATAACAAGAAGTGAGAAATACATGTGATGGTTTGAAACAATTAATTAAATTACAACATTGAAACTGTAAAATTATTGAAATTGATATAGTCTTATAACATTTAAATATATGATAAATATATAATACTAATTATGAAAAACAAATATGTATGTATATTAAAGTGGAAAAAACACCCGAGCAACCTCAAACTCTAGTTTTGTACCTTTTTGACTAAAAAATTAAAATTTACTGATAAACTATGTTGTTAAGATATTCGCCTATGGATAATGATAACACGATGCTCTAATTTTTAACTGAAAATTAAAAATATTTCCTAATCTTTTTTTCTTATCTTAACACAAAACCAAAATAACTCACCTTGAAACTTCAAACGACAAAGTCTAGTTTTATACTTATACTAGATGCGGATCCGTGCGTTGCACGGATTTTATTTAATTTTTAATTTTTGCGAAGACATAAAAAATGGAAAAAAAATTCAGATTAGACTATCTTCAATGTATTTTGTTATTTTAACTCTAAAATAAATGAACTCTATAATAAAAATTATATATGCTCCAATATATTCCTCTATAATAACAATCTTTAAATATAGAGTAAAAATAGAGGATTGGTGTTTCTTCCTTTATAAATATAGGAAAAATATATAAATCTCTAATGTAGAGAAAGAAATAGAGGTGGATTGTAACAATTTCACGTCCAAATGTCATTATAGAGATTAAAATAACAATGCGTTGGAGATGCTTTTAGTTCTTGAAATTTTCAGTATATATTAGTCTTAATTTTAGTAATAATAATTTGTTTCTTTCAAAAATTTTGATTGATATTTCTATTTAATAATTATGGTGTTTTAAATAATAGTTTAATATTTTTAATTATTTAATAATAATAGTTGTAGTTAATTGATACATATAGAACTTTGAACTCTCAATATTATTTATCTTGTTTAAAGAAAATTAAAGAAAACACAATTAAAAATATTAAAACTACACGACACCAATCAATATGTATTATTGATACTCAACTAAATATCAAATATACAACTTTCTTTAGCATTGATGATGTGACTATTGTCGTTATGTTTTAAAAATCTGAAACTATGGAGTTGTAGTGATTCTTGATAGTGTTATGTATAATTGTAAGACTGGACTTGGCAAATATAGACCAACCTTTTAAGGTTTAACCTTAACTCTTGTTGCTCATTGCATAGAATACTCATATAAGAAATTAACGTTATTTCAGTTTGAAAAGTCTATCTTGCAAATGTTGGTATGGAACTTATACTAGGAATAAAAATTTGTTTTTTCCATATAACTTATGGGTAGAAATTCTACTTCAGTAATCATGTTGTGTAGGTCAAATTATTAGTAATATTGTCCAATGCAAAGTCTTTCTCTTTGATTTCAATTTTTTAATAGCATGACCTACGACATTCATTTCAAATTCATTCTCTTTTATTTTAATCATGTAGTATCATGATCTACAATAGCATAACCAATTTTATATGCTGATAAGAACAAACACACATAAACATAATCACACATAAGCATAATAGTCATATTATCTATTAAACTTACATAAAACAACATGTACAAACACTTAAGTATAATTGTGGTATTAACTAATGTACGACATCATGATAATAATATATTTTAAAAAAATCAACATCACTTTAATGTGAAAATTAAGATGTCACATGTTATTTCCTATACATGTGATATCCAAAAAAAATAGATCACGCGAAGATGTAAATGAATATGTAGAAAAACTCAATTAATATTATTCATGTATCTCTTATTATATTTTCTACCAAAATATGAGAAGTGACAAAACATGAGAGAACTTAATCACATATATATATATATATATATATATATATATATATATATATATATATATATATATATGTGTGTGTGTGTGTGTGTGTGAATAATTGTAGCTCCTTTTTATTTATAATTTATAAAAAAAGAATATCAACTATTTTAATTGGAAAGTGGATTATTCATAAAAGTATTAGAAATAACTATTGCAAAAACATTTTGATTAGGATTTGAAGAAAGGAAAACTACTTCAACACTCTTTTACAATTTCTTACGTTTTTGATGTTATAAAAGGACAATTACTATTAAATATTTTCTTTTCTCACAGTTATATTTTTATTAGGACTAATATTTTTTGTTTAAAATTTTTAAAAAGAAAAAAGTAGGGAAAATACAACTAAATAATTACTTTTTGTTTAAAATGTAGGATTTTTTAAAAGTAAAATTTCTAAAAATACTATTTAATAATTTTTAAAGCTTTTTTTACTAATAATAAATTTTAAATATAATTTTTCAAAATTCCTTTTTATTATCTTATTATATATATTTATATATATTAATCATTATATATTTTAATACATGTCACAATATTAAAAGGAAAGTTAGTATCAAATAATCTTTTACAATTATCTTTTGTTAAGAATTTTTAAAATTTAAAATTACTATTAGATATAATTAATAAATATATAATTTTCATATGTTACAATCATGTTAATTAGCAACTTTGAAGAATCAAGTTCAATGAAAAATTTTACAAATTATTTTTCAAAATATTTTTCAGCTTTTTTCAAATTTGTTTTTGTTTAGGATTTTAAAAAGTAAAATTTCTAAAAAAATTACTATTAAATAATTTTTAAAGTTACTTTTTACTAATAAATAAATTTTAAATTTTCTTTTAAAAATTCGTTTTGATTATCTTATTACATATATATAAATCATTATATATTTTAACACATGTCACAATATTAAAAGAAAAACTAATATCAAATAATCTTTTACAATCATCTTTTGTTTAAGGTTTTAAAAATGGAAAATTACTTAAGATAATAATTATAATTACTTTTAAAATAAAATTTGTTTTTGTTATTATCGTACTATATATCTACTCTATTAAAATAGAGTCATTCTTTTTATCTACTGATATAAGTTGTCATTTAAATTTGGACCCTTTCTAGAGTGTTACAAATATGTAACACAAGCCATATAATTAATTGAACCGCATTACTTAAATTAAACCGATGGTTATTTATGGGATATAGTCTTGGGCTTACTTTTGTTTTTAGAACAAATTATATAGTTTGGTTTTTGGGCTTAGTATTAAGGAAAAACTCCAAAAACTTTGAATAAACTTTTCACCTTAATAGATCAAAAAATCAATTATTATTTTTAGGCCCAAAAGGTATTTAATATTTTTAACAAAATAAAATTGTCTATTATTAATCATTTATTTAAATCATGTACTTTAAAACATGTTAATGTATTTTTTTATTTTAAATAACAATCACTTTATTTTGATAAATTTCAATGGTAACTTTTAAATAATTTATTGTTTTGTTTTTCTTAAATAATTTACTGATTTAAAAAAATGAAAGCAAAACCAAAAACCAAGTCTAAAAACCAAAAGATGAAAACACAAGTTATATTTTTTTTTGCTTTTGTTTATTTACAAAATAAACTATTGCAAATTTTTTTGTCGTCTTTTCAGTTTTAAATTAGATGTTTGATTATTTAGGATTTGTTTGTTGGTAATATCAATTCAAACTAACTCAACGGGTCTAAAAATTAAAAACACAAACCAAAAGCTGAAAATCAAAAGTAGAAACTTAAAAACTAAAAACAAAAAAACAAAATCTAAAAATAAAAACTGAAACTAAAAACTAATGAAAAATAACCATCACCACAAATTTTGGTGAATTAATTTTATACCAAAACATTCTTTAAATTAAGACAAACCTAATTATATAAATTTTTAATCATAAAAAATTTCTGCGCTTTCAAGCGCGGATCAAAATCTAGTTTTTAATTATTATATAGATTCACACATGTCACAATCTTAAATACATAATTGTCATGTGTCGCGATTATGTTAATTATTAACTTTGAAAAACCACACTTTATATAATAAGATATTGAGTAATATGCTCCATGGGCCTTTTCATTTTTTGCCGAGAGATAATCGACTAGGAGGAGATTCGATGGATATCAATCTGACAGTCTTCAATCTCTCGAATGTTTGACAAACGTTTTTGAAAATTATAGTGATTCGCTAGAGATGATCTAAATGTTAGTAGAATCAATTGGTCGCTCATTGACATGTACAACTTTTTAAAAGTTTGGTTTCAGTTTTCCTTTGTTATAGTAAAGGAAGGTGTTGCTCTATTCACTTTTTTCACCCATATATGAAAGCAATAGAGATAGTGAAATAAAAGCGCCTTTCTTCTCTCATAACAGAATTAAAACATCTCTCATGGTTTTAAAAAATGTAACAACACATGCATAGGATTACACAGCATAGAAAACAGCAAAACCTACTTAACCCATAAAACAAGAGGAGTTTGAAAGACTCGCTGAGTTACAGATAGAGAATCCCAAATACAGAGAGAGAGAGAGATGTGGAAACAACTCTCGAATCAAATCATACAATCAGAAACGTCTTCTAGGGCTTCGGGAACGTTGTGACCTGCCGGACCTGAAAACCCCAAATTAACAACAATCTATGAATATAAGGTCAAATAACTTATGAAACGATTTGATATACACAATCTTAAATCTATATTAAAAGACTACTCATACTCACTCATATCGGTTATTAATTATAGTAACCTTTGATACTTGTAAGAACTGACTTCATTTAACAAAAAGAAGAGCAAACAACATGGTTATGAGATACATCAAAAAGAGATTAAGCTACAAACCTCATGTTCCTTCTCCTGTAAGATCCACCATTGTTGGGTCCATTGCTGAAGGCCCAGTCAACGCTGACATTCTTTGTAAGAATCTCAGCACCATTCATTGCTTTTATAGCACTCTGCGCCTCTTCACTCTTCTCGTATTCTATCAATGCATAGCCCTAAACAAAAAGACAAACATGAAGTGGGTAAAATTATTACTACTTCCACAACATACATTCACAAAACCTGAACTCGTAGACTCCCATTCTGATACTCAACAAGACACATTAATTAACACCTAAAAATATGCCAAAAGAGGAGTGCCATCTGAGATTAAAAAAAAAACAGTAGCACTCTCACAACTCGAATATCTATCATGACAAAAGTAGTATGTCATACATAGACTTGTGAATATCCATAGCAAAAGATAATTATCATTTTGATACAGGACAGCCAAACCCTACTAAACTATCAAGAGCCAACCACTAGTAGGAGCAGAAAGAGTAAACTCCATACCTTGACAAAACCAGTACGTCGATCAAGATTGAGATGCAAACTCTTAATCTCCCCAAAATCACCAAAAGCATTGGATATATCATCCTCCTGTGCCTCCTCATGAACTCCAGTGACCAAAACTATCCACCCCTCAATGGCTACACAACAAATCATCCACATTAACACTTGTTCTTACTTACAGATACTAATAAGTTAGCTTAAAATCTATATAGTTGAAGTATCTAAAAACACAGCAAGTAACAAACTTTCTAGGTCAAATCGAATCCTAGCCACATGGGCACTTGAGAAACCCTAAAAACACGCGAATCGAGAGATTACATCGTTGTGGGCCAGGCCCGCCATCGGAACCGAGGGACTCGAAATCGCGGGAGGAAAGGCGGCGCTGGCGATCGGAATCTTTCTCCTCGCGAAAGCCACGGCCTTTGGTCTTCCTATTCGCTGATTCGTCGTTTGCTCCGGCGATAGCTGACCTAAGCCTCGGTTGCCCAGCGCGAGGGGAGACATCATCTGCTCCGGCGTCTTCGTCCATGAGGTCGTCCTCCTCTGGCTCGAAATCGATTGCTTCAGCTTCTATGTTCGCCATTACTTCCGCCCGCCGCCGTCGTCGATGCGATGCCGATCGGATCTCTTCCCGTCTTTTTCTATCTAAGATATTTTTGTATGTGGGGTTTATAGGAATGTTTACTGGGCCTTTAGTGGGCTTATATTGGGCCGAAGTCTTTGATTTGTTATTCTAAATCAGTTTCAGAGTTTTTGGGTCTTTGAGAATCAGCTGAAACTTTTAACTCAAGAAATACAGCTGATCAGAGACAAAACAATAATATTTTTCTTTTGTTGTTTTGCTTAGTTAGACACAAAGCTCTGTGATCTTTAACTTACTGTGTGTCTAGTTAAGTATTTTAAAAGATCTAATCTGATGTGGAATTCGTATTGGTGATGGAGAATCCTCAAGAATGAAGTTTGTGTGTTTACATTCTGACCTGAAACTTTCCAAAGAGGATCTCATGGAAACAAATCAACAGTGTCACACACTATCAATCTTTTAATGTGATAGTGCATATGTGGAGAAACTATGAGAGACACAAAAGCTTAACTTCGTTAGTAACAAATGAGGAATCAAAATTAGTTGACAAAAACAAACACTTTTTGCATTAGGTGCAAGGAAACTTTGCGATCTCTATTCCAAAACAAGAAACTTGAATTCATGGCTTCATAGCTTTTAGATTTTACAGTTTGGTTTTATCAAATATGTTTTAAGGAAATGAAGAACTTTAAATCATTTTCAAAAAAATTCAAATCCCATTACCATTCAGTTTTTGCATATCTTCCTAAAATGTGTGACTGTTATAAAAATCATCACTCTTCTCTTTATTATTCTTATTGCATGCCCATAAAGAGATAAGAACACACATAATGCCAAACAATGAAGCATTTTATTTTATTTTTTGGTCAAAACAATTGAAGCATTTTAAAATGATTTTTCAGAAGACAAATATTTTTTGTTGCAAAGAAAAAAAAAAGATAAATATTTTTATTTTACATTTATTGATTAATTAGTTTCTTCTAGTTACTAGGCATGTTCAATCTGGTGTTCGGTCCGGTTTCGGTTCGGTTTTTTCGGTTTTCGGTTATTCGGTTTATAAAAATTAGCTATCATATTGGAACCATATTTAATTTGGTTTGGTTCGGTATTTATACTATCGGTTTTTGGTTTATTCGGTTTTATACCAAATAACATTAATATTTGATTTGGTTTCATATTATATGAATAAAAAAAAACATATTGTCAAAACTATCATATATTAAAATAATCTTAGGTGTTCATAAATATAAAAATATGAAATTAACAACAAACAAAACGACCAACGATTCAGTTTTGTATAGTTTTTCTTATTTTCTCTTTGTTCTTCCAAATAAATTACATGTTACAATCTAATTTCACAATTTCTTACAACATACAAAATCAAATCAAATTAGATAATAGTTGAAGAAAATAAAATAAAACTATTAAGATAGATCTTCACAAGGAATAATTTTTTTTAAAAAAAAGAGACTATTCCAAGAAAATAAATGGTTATATAATGTATATGTTTATATATTTTTTCTTTGATCGGTTTTGTTCGGTTTATTCGGTTTAATCGGTTATAAACCTAACCATATCCAAATCCTACGGTTTTTATAAATTCATATCCATTCGGTTTATATGGTATATACCAAATCCAAACCATATTGTCTATTTCGGTTCGGTTCGGTACGGTTCGGTAATTGTCATTCTAGGGAAAAAAAATCGTTTCAAAATAAGTGTCGTTTTAGAGTTTCGAGATAAAATTTATTAGGTTTATATAATATTCTATTTTTATATTGGTTGAAAAGTGGTTAGGTGTATAGGTAATTGTGTTTTTTCTTGAAAATATGTAAAATTAAATGTTTCCTTAATATGTGTGCAAAAATGATAATTAAAATGAAAAAAGTGGAGGGAGTATTGAACAGCCGTACTAGTTACACCCCAGCTCTAGCACCATCATCATATCTCTGCAACGTTATTTCTTTCTTTAGAAGTTAAATCAGACAAGAAGAAAAACACAGACAGAGAGAGAGAAAGAACAAAACATTATCTTTCCATCTTCGTCTTCTTGTTCAACAGAGAAAGACAAGAGCTCACAATGTTTCCTTCTGGAAACATTCAACCTCGGCGAAAGACCCATCTCACCACCTCCATTGACAGACCTGAACCTATACTTCCTCCTCCAGACATAAAGTCTCTGTCTTTAAGCGTTTCCTTCAAAGGGTGGAGGCTCCCGAACACAAAGTTCAAGTCTTGGGCTATCAAAATGTCATCTTTACACAAACCCACATGGATACAAGCTGGTGTCTTCGACGCAATCATGGCGTCTACACAGAAAATCAGTAAAGACACAGATCTCCTTCTAAGTATCGCTGAGAAATGGTGTCCAGAGACCAACACTTTCGTGTTCCTTTGGGGTGAAGCAACCATAACGCTTGAAGACGTTATGTTGCTTCTAGGCTTCTCTGTTCTGGGTTCACCGGTTTTCGCTGCTCTGGATGGGTCAGGAGAGATGGTTAAGGAGAAACTGGTGAAAGAGAGTTTGGAGATTAAGAAAGATACTAACTTTGTGTTTGTGAGTCAATTAGAGTGGATGAATAGATTCATGAACAGTGGTGATGATGATGAACTTGAGCATGTTGCTTTCCTTGCGCTGTGGCTAAGTTATTTTGTGTTTCCGTCTGTTTATTATCATGTAGATGAAGCTGTTTTCGGTGTTGCTGTTCATGTAGCAAGAGGGGCTAGGATTGCTCTTGCTCCTGCTGTTCTTGCACATCTGTATAGAGAGCTAACTCTCTTGAAACACCACATTAGAGAGTTCACTATAGCGACATGATTGAGCTGAAGGGACTGTTTAAGTTGGTTCAAGTTTGGACATGGGAGAGATTCAAGGAGCTACAACCCAAAAAGAAGCCTAACCCTTTGCTCAAAGGTATGCCAAGATTGAGTATTTGGTATGAGTCGTCGACGCAGAAGAGAAGTAGCAGCAATGTGAGGAAGGTTCTTGAGAAGTCCAAAGTGGAGAGCTTTGAGTGGCGTCCTTACACAAAAGCTTTGGAGAATTGGAAGTTTCCTTTGTTTTACCCTGAGGAAGCAATGTGGGTTCCTGTTGATCCTGATATTGACGATGAGTTCATATCTTTTGCTCGTTGTGTCAAGGTGTCTAAGCTTGTTGGGGTTAATTGTGTGGAGAATTACTTTCCAAATAGAGTAGCTTCACAGTTTGGTTTGCTTCAGGATGTTGTTCCTTGTGATCATGTGAAGAATAGGAACTACCTCTCAAAAGAAGCAGCTTGGGATGAGTACAACAAGCCTCTTGATGAGCTGACATTGTACGTGCCTTCTCGTTGTGCAATACCTTGGTGGAAGAAGTCGTCTTCTGAGTGGTGGAAGAAATTGTCTCCAGAGTTTCAGCATTCTCCTCCCAAGGAGATTCAAGCTGTTGAATCAGCTGAATCACTGACAAGACACATCATAGGTGGTGATGATGATGATACATCTGATTCTGTTGCCTCAGGTTCTAAGAGATGGAAGTCAATAAAGCAAGTTTATGAGGATGATGATGATGATGATGATGATACTGATAGGTGTCGTTATCAGACTCAGGTTCCATCAGAGAATGAGGATGTTGAAGATGAAGATGATAGCCTCACCATGTTGAAATGTGAGTATTTAGAGACTGGTTTGTTTGAGAAGAAGGAAGAACAACAAGAACAGAGGAGAGAAGGTAGTATTTTCGTGAGAGAGAGAAGAGAGGAGAGAGAGAGTTACACAAGAGAATTTAATTCTGAGGAAAACAGTTTTCTTGACTTTTTAGGTTGCTTACAATATGTATTTAAAGTCAAATCAGGCTTACAAGGACATGAGATTTAATATATAAAACTCAACCCACTTGCACCTGCTTTGTCCAGAACCCCCAACGGTCTTCTCCTCTTTAAACCAATTGTAACCTTCTTAAACCAATTGTAACCTTCACCATTCGAATAATTATTCTCCTCTAGTCCTTTTTATTGCTTCATGTTCACACTCTCCCTCAAGCTTGACAATAGATACTATGTTAAGCTTGGAGTACCATGAAGCATTCCCTCATTAAAACCTTACTCAGCAAAACCCATTGGGATAAAAGCTAAGCAAGGAAAAAGTAGAACACTTCATGGAGAGGGGATTAGTGACATGAAAGGTCTATGAGTCCAAGCTTAGGATGAATGAACTCACAGACCTTGCTGCTTGCTGCCTTAGTGAAGATGTCAGCAAGTTGATCTTCACTTCTAGTATAGCAAGGAAGGATTACTTGTTGTTCCACTGCTTGTCTCACTTTATGGCAGTCCACCTCTATGTG